TTAGGGTTACAAGAAATGTCGGTAACTTAATGGATAATGGTAGGAAATTACCAGTAAAGTTCAAGTTTTTCTGTGGATATTTTATATACATTATGCATTTTAATTTATTATTAAAGTCAAATTAATATTCCATGTAGTTTCTCAGTTAATACGAGGTTCTGAAATCCCATAATAGAATAATGAAATATTTATGTTTGATATAGTCACTACTTTCAACTATAACATTACATGTACAGTATGAAAGTAAGTTTAATACATTATATGTATTTTCTACAATTGTTTTATTTTTATTATGACAGCATTTTCCAAATCTAAAATATTCTTTTGCATTTTGAATCAATGCGGTCGGTTGTGTGCATTACTCACAGAGTTTCATTCTTGTCAATAATGCTGTGGTTATATTGACTTAAACCTTGTCATCCTCACGGTCATCTGCCATTGACCCACTAATGCGGCCCACAGAGCGCTCTGGACGACATGTATTGTTGCGGTGCATTATTATGGTGCGAGTGGGGCTTTATGGAGCAAAATGCGTTCGGAGAGCCCATGCTTTCCCTCATTCATGTCTGTGTTAGATTCACAGTGAATGTCTTTGATTAATGTCTCTGATTTGTCCCCGCTGTTCTCCGTAGCTCTGGGGCCCCGGGGACGTGATTCATAGTGTTGCCAGGGCTGATGGAGGACAATAAGTTTAGGTTTCAGGTCATCTGATACTGTTCCTATTGCGCTCAGCAAGATCCAGCTGACAAGGCTTTTATACTGCTGTCTCTCAACTCTCACTACGCTCTTAGTTTACAGTGCTGAAGCAATGGAGGTGTGTGTGTGTGAGTGTGTGTGTGTGTGTGTGCATGTGTTAATGAGTATTTGAATGAGCCTCTGTGCTGGTCTTCTGTTGCTATGTGCTTGCCGTTTTACAAGCGTGTGTGTGTAGGTGTAGCATAGTGTTCTCACTAATGTAGGTCAGTAGATTGCTCACTCCCTCCCTGCTCTGTGCGTGTGTGTGTGTGTGTGTGTGTGTGTGTGTGTGTGTGGGTTTTAATCCTGAGGGATAAGCAGGGAGGGCTGAGAGGACCCAACTGTGAAAGATTAGGACTTGGCTTTCCCCAGGATACCACAGCAACACACTGAGGCATGTTTGAGAGTAAGTGTGTATGTGTGTACATAAAATACCAGCCATTGGCATCACTGTCATTAATCCTAACTGGCTCCCTGCAGTATCGACATTCATTAAAGAATGGTTTAAGCTGCAGTCAGATTTGTTGAGAAAATACTACGGCCTCTCTCTCTCTCTCTCTCTCTCTCTCTCTCTCTCTCCCTCTCTCTCTCTCTCATACTGTGGCTTTCTCTTTCTTTTACTGTGCTGCCCTTGAAATATAGTGGCTGCATGCCTTTGCAGTATGTACTAAATAGGGATGAGTCATAGAGGTTGCTAGCAATAATCATTATCTGTCAATTTGATGGACTGAGTTGTAAATTTTATTTTTTATATATCCCTCTGAAACATCATTCCGTAGTGTTGGTATTGGACAATGTAACATCAGAAAAATTCTGTGATTTATAAACTATTGGATCTCATATTTAGTTTTATTGTTTTTGTACTGTCAGTTATTTTCTTATTTAGTTTTTTTGTTATATTTTAGGCATTTTTGCCTTTATGGGATGGGATGGTGGAGATAGTAAGTGACAATAGAGGAGAGAGTGAAACAGGATCAGGAATAGACCTCAAGCTGGGACTCAAACTTGACAAATAATATTTCCTTTTTTTATTTAGTTTAAATGTTATCAATTATAAATGTATATTAATTTAAATTTTTTACATATATTAATTGTTATATATTTTTAAAAAAGTTTTATAAAATATAGATTATTTATATAATTATAGTATTTTGCAAATTTGAATCACCTTTTTCTTTTTTTAGTTCACTTAAATAGTCTTGTGGTGACATTCATTTTTAGAATTAGAAACATTCCATATATTTTCTCAATTAATATGTGATGAAAGACAATAGTTTATTAATTATAATGATGATTGAAATAGTAGATTTGTACACTATAGTACATTACACTCTTTGCACATTAAAGCAAATATATATATATATTATTTAAATATTTAAAATTTAATTTATTATTTTTATGTTGAACTTGATACAGTACTGTTGATTATTTTCTCATTAGCTACCAACAAGGGAGCTGTCTCTGACGTTATAGGATTTTCTTTATTTTCTTTTATTTTCTTTATTTACTTATTTTTTCTTTATTTTTATTTTTTGGAGAAAGTATACTGCTTCTGTTCTGTTCATGGAAACAAAGCACAATATTGAATTCAAATAACTGACTTCTCAACCGTTGATGAAGTGTGTTCTCCAAGAATACTGGTGTGTAATGTCAGTACATTCTTGGAAATACTACATATGTCATGGTGGCATTGTCCTTTTACCTGTATGTTCTTTGACCTATGATGTAATAACAACAACCATAAATTGTACTGAGGTGTTTATAACAAGTAAATAAACAACACATTAACTACAGGGAATTTTCTTGAAACCTTATGCCACCCAATTCAGTTTTCTCCATTTCTTCCCCCCCACACCCCAGTTTTCATATCCTTATTCATACACATTTGATGTTCTGAATTCTGCATACTGTGTAGTTGGGAAGTACGCAAATTCAGATGCAGAGAGTGTCTTCGAGAATGCTTTGATTCATGGGAAGCATATATCATATGCTCTTATGTGTAGAGATTAAATAGAGATCTAGATCGTACATCAAACTGGGAACAATGAACCACTGATTACCATTTAAATCAGTTTTCAAATATAATCCCATCATAAAGGGTTTATTTCACCACGAGCATTCAAGGTCCTGCAAGAGACCAGTTCAAACCTCTAGAATTGCCTTTTGAGCAAGTTATAATACCATCTGGATAATATTGTCATCTAACATGCATGATTACTTAAATCATTAATTAAAATGATTATGATAATTTGGTTATTAACATGCTTGATTGCCCTTGTCTGATGCAAATTATGGTGAAGGAAAAAGACTTAGAAGAGAGGTTGGGGGTGGTGCAGAGAGAGATGAAAAGATATATGAGCCAAAGGGAAGGAATGAACGAGTAAAGAATGTGGGGATGAAAAGTAAAAAAGAAAAAAAAAAGAGGTAGGAAACACTGATTGAGAGAGTGCCGAGAATAAACACCCTGCTCAATGTCAATAGCTGTCAATCAGCAGTGTTCAGCTGTTGCGTAACCTTTCTACACTACTTTGACTTAAGAGCAAACAGAGAGGACATGCTCCTGCTGTTTGTTATCAGCTGAGGGCTGTTGTGTCTGCTTTAAGTGATGACATGACCATTGTGAACCTAAACATAACCTTGGAACATTCAAAACGATCAGTATTGTATGGTCTCTTATCGTGTCTAATTTTAAAACATTGTCTGAGGATGTGAAGCTTGACAGGCACACTATATATATATTGTTGATTGTTCCTGTGGCTCAGTGGTAGAGCATTGCATTTAGAGTCGCGGTAGAGTCGCTTTGGAATTATTAAATTATTATTTATTATATGCAGTATATGTATCATGATTCTGAATGATTACCATATTCATACAGTATAATATGGTATTTCCTTTGTTCTTCGTGATACAGTTTTCAACGTAGTATTACCATGGTGTATGTGCAAAACAGCATGGTGCTTTGATGGTATCACATGGTAACACCGTGGTACTTGCATATATACCATGGTACATGAATTTTAGTCTTATTGTAGTATCATCTGATACCTGGTACTTGAAGGTGCATCCAAGAACTGCTACTACATGTCCAAAAGATGTGGTTGTATTATGGTACTTTCTGGTATTTTTTGTAAGTTTAGTATTATAATAGTACGTAGTATTACCGTGGTGCCATGTCAATGATACTAACATTGTACATAACACCATAGTGATACTATGGTACATTTTGTTACCTTTGTGTAAGTGTTCCATACACACAAATAGTAAGCCGCTATACAGACCGGCTTAAAGGGTGGGTTCCCCTTACAGCAGAATCTGCCTGTTCTTTTATAGCACTGCGACACTTGTTAAATCATCAGGGCCTGTTTATCATGCAAAGCCACCCTCCCACCAGTGCTGGACAACAGACGCAGCTGAATGGGTTCAATCAATAGAGCTCAGGGAGAAATGTCTAACAAGCCATAACACTGCACAACATCACTGTTTCGTCACGTGTCTCCCCATACACTCTGGAGTAGATGGGAGAGGAAAATGAGACACTGGCTTCCTGCTTTGATGGAGAGCTCTTAAAGTCAACATCAAATCTAAATAGACAGTTTTACCTTCATAATACACATATGCACAATTCATTAGTGCTTGTTATATTATTCCAGAGAAAGCAACATTTGTGTTTGTAATCTTGCATGTACACGTGACTTGCTCTGTGTTTGTCTGTTTTTGTTTGGTTAAAGCCTTAAGCCTTGTGGGCTTAAGTACTTTGTCCATTCAAGTCTAGCTTCATTATGCCATAGAAACACTCACTTTTTTACAATTCAGTAAATTCTTGATGGATATATAGTTCCAGCCTTTTCTCTTTGAACATGTTCTTTCAGATGTGAATGCTATTTATTTCAACTTAAAAATGATTATCACGTTTACACACTAGTAGATAAGCCTCCAGTCTAATTTGTGTTTGTATGTTGCATGAGGGTGAATGTGTTACTGGCTTCAGATAAGTCCTGAGTGCAGAGTGCCGGTTCATTATTAATGATGCGCACACTGTGTGTTCCATCTCGCCCTGCAGGGGGTCCACTTACATACTCCAAACACACACACGCTATGAGTGCTATCCACAAGACACTGATGCCCACTCACATGTACAGTGATAGTTTACAAAGCTATTGAACGTACTGAACTACCCTTTCACTTTTGAGGTGTATAGGACTTCCTTCCATAGAGCTGTTTTCAAAACAGAAATATCCTTAATGATGCATGTGTTTATTTTTCAGGTTCTTCCTGCAGTCCTGGAGACTCGCTCTCAGAGGGAAATGATTCCGCATGAATTGCATGGACCGCTCTCCCACAGCAGGTGTGACTTCCGTTGCTTAAGACTGAAATCTGTGTCCATCCGACCATAGGCACAGGACACATCCCCTCACACCACCACTCTCTCTACCCCATCCCCATCCTCGCTCTGAGCCAGTCAGTGGGAGGGCACACTCTGTTAGCAATACAGAGACCAAGAGGGAGAGGAAAAGAGCCAAAAAAGACAGGGGGAAGAAACATCCAGAAAGACTGGTACAAGATTCTCAGACGCCATGAAGTCAAACCAGGAGCGGAGCAATGAATGCCTGCCCCCAAAGAAGCGTGAAATCCCAGCAAGCACTCTGCCCTCAGAGGAGAGGCCCATGGTGATGGCGCCTGCTAATGAGAGCCAGCGTTCGGGAAACCTGGCCTGGCTTGCCAGTTTGGCAAGTGGACATGACAGATGGCGGCAGCACACCAGCACCTCCTCAGAACCTGATGGGCCTCAATACAAACCATTGTCAGCCACGGCTGAGAGCACACCTCCCTCGTCCACACACTTAACCAGAGCTCCCACTGCAGTGACCACCATACCTGCCGTGTACACGTCACCCCTCTCTCAGCCTGCTGGCACTATCCAGTACACACCCCTGCCTCCCAATCTTCACTTCATCAGCTCTCCGTACTCTGCACCATATGCTGGCTACATCTCACCTCTAATTCATCCATCGGTTGCCACCACTACCACACAACGTGAGATTTATGCCAGCACCTCCAGTTCTCCAGTATCCAAAATTGACCAGCACCACCAATTGGGCCGTCCTCATGGCATGGTCACAACTGACAACACCATTTCTCCCCACTCCACCCAATACATCCAAATTGCTGGTTCTCCTCTAAGCGTATCTCCTCGAACTGCTCCGTCACCTCATGCTCAATTGCCTCCACACTTACACCCTCACCACACGGTCCCCATCAGTGGCCCCTCGCCAGTCTTACACATCACACACACAGATGGACCTTTATTCAACAGGGAGGAGACAAGGCCCAGGGAGGTTCTGAATGGAGAACTGGAGAAGGACAGACGCTTTGGTCCATCTCCCGAATATAGTGCAGGGAAGCAGGGCAGCACTGCCAAAGGGGGTTCCTCCACCCAACAGCACCAGATCCACCAGCAGCAGAGCCCACGTCACTATGAGGCTCGGCATGTGGTGCTACCTGTCGAATATGCGCAGGACAGTGCAGCCATTCGAACCTCGTTGGTGTTGGTACCCAACAGTCATAGCTCCGGTGGTGCTGATCGCGGAGGTACACCTGACAAGTTGCCTCCCCCAACATCCCACAATGAGAAAGGAGGGATTTGCGCAGGCAAACCTGTATCCCGCAGTTCCTCCTCCTCAGCCTCCGTTCCATTTCCTCCGCACCCTCCACCTGTGGACAGTCTGAAGGGGGCAGTTACCGCACTGTCTCCACATGCTGTCATCCAGACCACACATAACACCACAGAGTCACTCTCCCTAGGCCTCCCCTCCACCAATTTCTACTCTGCTCAGCAGCCCATCATCGGTTACATTGCCGGCACAGGGCACCAGCAACCTCTCAGCTACCACACCAGCCTATCTCAGCACCTGGTCATCCCTGGAACTCAGCCGGTCATCATCCCAGTGAGTGGAACTGAAGCTACTGCTACATCGACCACACCGCCCTTGCCTGTGGCACTGCCCCATGCTTTCGTCACCTCAATGGCCCCAAAAGTAGAGACTTTTGAGGCTCCAGCCCCATACCATCACCCTGCCGCAGCTGTGGTTCAAGCCCAGTTTCATCTGCCTGTGGTTCCAGCCCCTGCCGGCCTGCTGACGACTCCGCCGCCACCCTCAGCCCCTTCACTGCCCCCTTACTTCACCAAGGGCTCCATCATCCAGTTGGCAAATGGGGAATTGAAGCGGGTGGAGGACCTGAAGACAGAGGATTTCATTCAGAGTGCTGAGATCAGCAACGAACTGAAGATTGACTCCAGCACTGTAGAGCGCATTGACAGCAGTCATACGCCTAACTTTGCTATTATACAGTTTGCTGTCGGAGAGCATCACTCACAGGTGGGATAAAATGTTTTTGCTTTACTCTTGAAATATCTGTTACAGTGCTGGTTGTTTCATGCATTTTGTAGTATGAGTATTTCAATGGTTTGTCAAATTTTCATAAGTGTGTATATACTGCATAATTTTATAGTGTTTATTATTACAGTAGCTATATACAGTGTATATTTTAAGGTTACCATTTATATTAGAATACCAGTTACAGTCAATTAAATCCTGCCATCTAAAGAGGATTACAGTGAACATATCTTGGCATATTTTGTCCCTCAAAGGTAGTTTGATAATATGCAAATGGAATCCAAAGATGGTTCATTTAATTTCATATTTAACAATGCTCATTGGCAAAACAAAACAAAAATCTTTGCACCTTTTACAAATGTCCAGGGATCTTCTTTACTTTGTTACAACTTTCATGCATTTTATCATCAGTTTGAATAACCATATGGTAGTCATTATAAACTTTTTTAAGCTGTGAGGGTGTGAATGTCCTCCTATATGAACTCCACCTGCACTCAATCAGTGTAACTAGATGTGGGTTAAATTGGCAGCTGAAATCATCTCCCTGTTCCATAATCCCTCCTTTGGCTGTCCCCATGGCATCTTTGTTTAGTTTGTGTGGGATTCACTGGCAGAATTGAGTCATTCCTTATTTCTGCTTCCTTCTGTTGTACTGTGAGTGGGCTGTATGAAAAATCTGCTTCATTTGTCTGGGAGTTGAGATGGGGCCACCCACTCAAAAGCAGTTCTAAAGTCTGTCAGTTTGAGAGGCGCTGAATAACAGATGCTATTTAGCAAAGGCATTCATTCATATCATCAGGCATTTGTTAATGACTTCTACTGTATGTATTTAATGTCCTCTTTTTGCCTTCCTTTATCTCTCGCAGGTCAGCGTGGAGGTGCTAGTAGAATATCCTTTCTTCGTGTTCGGCCAGGGCTGGTCATCATGTTGTCCAGAACGGACAACCCAGCTGCTCGAGTTGCCATGCACCAAGCTTTCAGTAGGCGACGTTTGCATCTCCCTCACCCTGAAGAACCTGAGAAATGGCTCCATCAAGAAAAGCCAGGGGCAAGTCTTGGATGCGCCTTCCCTCGGCCCACCCCTTAAATCACCCAAAGCACTCTCAAGCAGTGTGCGAGGGGGTGTTCGGCACACAGAACAGAAAAATGGACTCAGGCAGTGTGGAGATCAGGGAGGTGGAGGTGGTCAAGGCAATAGAGAGAATGGAGAACTGAGGTTTGGCGAAAGAGACATCTGCAAAGCACCACCGGTCACTGAATCAGAGTCCGGCAGCAAACCCACAGGCCGCAAAAGGAGGTGGTCGGCCCCTGAGGGCCGCAAAGTAGAAAATCCTGAAGGAGAGCCTCCTTTAATGTTCCCCAAACCTTCCTTCATCCCTCAGGAAGTTAAAATCAGTATCGAAGGCAGATCAAATATTGGAAAGTGAATACGCATTGGACTGTCATATGTTAAAAGCAAAATTTGCCCTTGGAATGTTTTAGGTTCTTTATTTTATGTTCTGATTTAATTTTCTATCCAGATTACTTTACCTAAAGGCTCAATTTACTCAGTATGTACATTATCACGTCTAACTTTGTAATAGGTGCATTCAATATTACACAGGCAATTGGTGCATTCTAAAAAATGCTGGGTTAAATATGGACAAACCCAGCGATTGGGTTGTTTCGACCCAGCAGTTGGGTTACTGCACAGAAGGTTGGGTTAAGCATTCAACCCAACTGTTGGTTGAAAACAACCTAATTGCTGGGTTTGTCCATATTTTACCCAGCGCTGGGTTGTATTTAACCCAGCATTGTTTAGAGTGTGCAATTCATTTGATTGGTCAAATTCAGGGCGGATGTAGTGCAAGGTGGGAAGGTTTTGAGATACCTGAGCACTGCATGATATCCTGAAGGCTTCAGTATACACAATCAGTCACAGCTAACAAGGCTAAGATGTCTCTCCAGTTTCTCACCTACAACATCCTCTACTTTTTTTTAGCTCAGACAAACCTGGTTTAACTACACCTAGTGGCAATTAAATAATTCGCCTGCTGAGTGAACCTGAAAATGTTTGTAAGGGAAGATGAATAACTGGTGTGAATAACATTGCTAATGGTGGCAGAACGGAAATCACTCCTCCACTGGTTGCAGGAGTTTACATGATGTCAGCCATCTTGTATAACTGTGACTAAAAAAGACTATCCAAATCAATGCTAACAATGTATCGTCAACGCAGTTAGACTAGCATAGATTATATTAACATTTATTGAAATACAAGAAGAGGTTTCCAAATACTATGGTACAGGCCAAGAGAGATTATGTCATTGAGCGATGCCAGTTGCTCCTCAGAAAGAAGAAACAATCATTTAAAACAGGGAAGATGGACGAGTCTGTTTTTATATATCCAACTGTCTAACCTTTTATTTGACTATTTTTGTAGTTTTGCATGTTTTAATTTTCCGTCTCACTTTTAAACCCTCCTATCATACATGATGGGTAGTTTTTTATTTTCTTTTTTTGTGTTGAATGTGTAAACCTTGCAATCAGGGGTCATTTTTTACATGGACACAGTATGGGTTCTTGTCTATGTATATGTATATGCATGGATGTATCTTGATGCATACAAACACAATGGGTGAGAAGATCAACCAGTCCCTTGTTTTAGTGCAGTCTCACCTGTTTTTTGTTCAAACAAGAGAAAGTAGATTTTTTTCTGAAAGAAAGAGAGCAAAAGTTGTCTGAAAAGGATGAGATGAGTGTTGTCCCGAAGCACTTACTTAACACACCTGTCATGCTTACTAGCTGATAGTAGTTTCAATCAAATAAGTCAAATTATTATTATATTAATTATTACTATTATTATTATTATTATTATTATTGCTACTACTATTTTCTGTTGTTCTTTCAACATGAACACAGTACTGCTGTATCATGAATTGGATGTTGTGTGGCACTCTGTGGGATGGTGATGGCTCACAAGGGTCACTGTGAAGGGATGAATGTAACAGGTGATGAAAGAGAAAACAATGAGATTTTGTCCCCAAGAGGACTACTTTAAAGGAAGCACTTTTTTCATTGCGTATGATTGGCTTAGCCTTCTCAAGCAATCTGACGGCTTGAGTAAAGTTGGGCGCAAGAGGCCGTGGCCCGTGAAACAACTGCCATTTAAGTCATTTAAAGCAAAAAGAGTCGTATGAAAGTGTGAATGCAGGTGGAAATAAGTACAGAGACTGTTTATATATTTACGAGAGATATGAGAGACAAAGTGAGAATTTCTGGCTACAGGATTCTTCGGAGGATCGAGGGGTGTCATATACCTGTTTGTTAGCAATGTATGTGGTCGTGCAAGCATGCGAGTCTGTGTGCGGTTGCGCATTGTCTCAAACACACATAAACGTACACGGTTACGGTAATTTTCAATCATGTTGAAATATGTCATGTATTTTTTGTACATTAACATGTATAGAACTGCGTATGCTATATCTATCTTACTGTATGAGAGCGCAAGACTACATGAGCACGTTTTTAGTCCCGTCCCCCAAGACACTGACTCATCGAACGTATGTGAAAGCAGTCATGTAGTAATTTCAGTGATCTGTAGTATATTTGTGTGAGCGTGCGTGAGTGTGTGTTTTGTGTGCGTGCAAGTGTATGTGTGTGTACATACCACACATATTATAAATAGATATTTAAGTTCTGCTTAAAAGAATATTGCAATTTGCACATCTGGAGAGATAGTAACTTGATTTATTTTGTTTTCTGCCAGCACAGGACAGGGCCGAAAACCCGATTTTTACTGAAATGTAGCAGTTTCTTGACAAGTTTGCTCGGTTCGCAGGTCTGTTGGGTTCATTTTCATTAGGAAAATTAGGAAGCCCCTTTTCAGGGGGTTTGAATCACACACAAACACATAAAAGTAGGATTGTGCACGGTGCTGTCGAAGTGTTCGCTTCATAGGGGTGGATGAAGTCATAGCCTGTAGCCTGCATACTTGTTGAGTCCTTTGAGTGGCCACACTCAAGTTAGCTTGGGTAGGTGAAGATCTGGCAGGAGGATGGTAGTAGAGAATAAAAGATGGACGGATTGATTTAATGAGTGGTGGAGGGCGGGTGGGTGAGTGCACCCTATAAACAAATTGAAAATGCTTTATTTTTTTATAATAAAACAGGGTTTCTCAGATCAACACCACAACCGTGCATTTTTTCTTTTTTTCCATTTGACATGACGTCTCTGTCCCCTCAAAGTGTGCGTGTTTGAGTTTTACTTGGATTGTATGTGTGTGGATGTATCTGCTTTAACCAATCAAACTTGATATTTTCATTGTGTTCAACATTTATTTTGGGCCAAAAGGTAGAAATAAGATATGATATTGTTTGTCCATTGAACCACCCCAACAACATGACTGTCAATTGCGAATCAGTCTTGCATTTGTTTTGTTTCTCTGATCTTTCGCTTTTGTCCGTCTCTTTGTGTAATGATCAGTGTTTTCGTTGCTGCTCATTGCTTCGATCATTTTACAGTCTGCCTCCTTCTGGTTGCACAGTGCGGTTCCACGTACACACGAGAAGCATTCCGAACAACGGCACGTAGCAATAACCCTTAGTCTCTAGTGCTGAACCAAAAAAAAAAAGAACCGGAAATCAACGCCAGACCTTCTGTTTGACCTCAGCAAACTGTTTTTTATCCTCTTTAGATTGATTTGCGGTTTGCACATCCAGCCCTCAGTAACTTCAGGGAGAAATGTAAATTAATATGCAGTGACAAAGTCTGTCCCCTCCTAGTCGTCTTAACCCGTAATCGATAGTGACCTCCAGATGCTCTTCAGGTGCCCATACAGAACCAGTACGCCTCTCTCAGAGTATGTTTACCCAACTGCAACCGTTAGCTACCTTCTGTTGCCTGGCATGTACGTGCGACCGCTTTCTCACCCGGCACACCCGCTATAGTTCAAGAACGTTGTTTTCTTTTCTCTCTTTTTATCTGTCTCTCTCTCATTCATAGCCATAGAACCTCGACAGTATTTGTGATGGAGTTTCAAATTGCCTAGCTTGTTGAAATTACAGTAGTTTTTTTTGGGGGGGGGGGGGGAAAGTCCATTATAACTATTCACCTATGATATCTATTAGAGTCAATGTAAATTGATGTTTCAACCCATTTTACTTCCATAATGTGACGTATTTCAGAGTTACAAGGATATTCAATCAAGAAAACCGGCTTTTCGAACCAGAATGCATACCAAATTGACCCTTCGCAGGGAGCTTGATTGACAGGCGATCTGACCAATCGCTATTGTGATCTGTCACGGCGCATTAGAGAGCTACAAAATTATTATTTATTGTTTGAATTTCTTACAAAATGGCAAAATTTAAAAGCTGAGACATTGTTTCTTACCGGAAGTAGCCTGCTCTGTCTTGTCTGTTGGCACATTGTCAGTGTCTACTTTGCTCCGCAATGTATTTTTCACTGCGTGAGAACATAATGTATGGTGTGAGAGTGGCATGACTTATCGGACATAGCAAGGGCTTTTGCGAAGGGTCAATTGATCAATATTCATCCCATAGCCTTTCTAGCCTAAATGATGTCAGTGAACAAGTAAAGTTTTTTTATATTCTATACAATGAATCGCTCACAATAAGACCTGGAATGGGCATTGAGGAAGTAAATAGGGTCAATTTTGATTCACTTGTTATGAACCAGGACAAAAGCAATTGTAAATGTATTATTCCAGCCAGGTATGTTTTTGGTTTGCATTTGGACTTGAAGATGTTACGACTTTAATCTGAGCGTCCATGTCACTGATTGTCTCTCAAATATTGAGGAATAAGTCCAACTGCAGATGAATTAAACATGCTTGACGTGTGATGACCTGAATGAATGAAACATCACGGATGTTCTGTGCCGTCACATTTGATGGTCATCACAAACAAAGAGAATAAAAGATGCACATGGTACAGCTGGCGGTTTATTGTGCTGATAATGATAGTCTCTTGTGACCTCCATGCAGAGAGAGACGAGGAAAATAAGAGAACATTAAAAGTGGCAGACGCTGTTTTGACACTTTTTTTTTAGCATCAATGTCATTTAAAAACTCAAACCCCACTGATGACGTTCTAAAATCTTCTCCTGTTTAAGTTTGACATGTTACACTTGTAACAGTTCGTGCCATCTGTATGTAGCACTGTTTCTGTGGTTTCCATTCATATACCTTCTCCCTTAAATTGTATTGCTTGTCTGTAGCCTGTGGGTTTTATGATTTTATTTTGCTATTTCTAAGTGAATATGGCAAATATTGTGTTTTTACTTTGTAATGAACCCCTGATCTATCATTTTTGCACTTTTTTTTTTCCCCCCCTCAGTGTGTTTCATTCTCTTTTGCAGAGGGGGAGTTTGCTGTCTCTGACATTATGACAACATTATTTGCTTTTCTGTTAAAGGTCAAAATCTTTCCTTGGGCTTACTCAGGGATGAGAAATAGGTGTGAATGTGTGTGTTGAGGAGGTTGTGTGACCTTTGAAAGGTTTGTGTACATGTAAAGATATATATATATATATATATTCTTGTGTGTTAAACTGCTGTAACCAGAAGCAGTCATTTCATTGGCCCTGTGCTTTGGTTTCCCACAATGTCTCTACACCATATGAGGCCTTCCTAACACACTCTGTCCGTCTCTGTGTATCCGTCTGTTTGTCCGCATCACAAGCTGTCTGTCCGTCTGCCTGTTGTCCCTCTGATGTCACAAGCCCAGATCCTCACAACATGCAAGATACTGAAAAAAGACTGAGAAATGATTAATCGACCTCATCAAAGTGGGGACCACTTTTATCAAACAAAAACAAAATGCACATTTTTTTTTTGTCATTTATAGAATAGATAGACTTGATAATACTGTTTCAGCACTTTCTAATCCCGAGGAAGATAGGGTGAGAGTTTGGTGTCATCGCAGTTTCTCCCCTCCAATACGAATTCCCTCTGTCTCGGCCCGTTCCTGGGTCCAACGGGCTGAGACGACGAGGACAGAGAGTTGAAATAAAGTTGGAATGGTCCTCTATGAACCTGAGATGACTTTACTTTTTGTTGTACTGATGTGTGCTCGAACACCGTCGTTCGGTTTTATTTGTTTTATTTTCATGTTGGTTCTATATTTGACCTTGCTTCATGTACTTTGGACTTTGTACTTTTGCTTTTGTCTCCTCTGTAGCACTCTTTTATCATGGTAGGAGATGAGAGAACGTGTTTTAATGAATGTTTTTAAGAGTTTTCGAGCGGCTCTGTGACAGCTCGCTCTCTTATAAGAGGAGCACCGCTGACAATTTCCTTGTTTTTACTTTCATTTCTCTGGCACAAATGACAAAAAAAGACGAATGTTGGATTGCGAGTTTCAGCAGTTTGAAAAATAAATCAAAAGATTTTCTTTTCTTTTATTGTGGCTCTCATTGAAACAACGACAAAAAAAACTTTTCTTTTGAGTTAGCTTTTCTTTGAAATCACTTGTTTTTTCTGTTCAACTTGACTGTTGTTTGACATCTTGTCAATTGTCCAAACCGCTGGATTAATAACCTCAGGCTGAGAATCTTCTACAAGCCCACAATATGGTTTTGTTTCACCCTAACTAACTGATGTATGGGCTGCTTGATATGGGTATTGTAACTAATCTTATTGTTAATTCTGTAATTAATATATGAGCATTCAGCTAAATCAGTGCTGGATAGTAAAAACAGTGCACACTCCTTAAAAAAAAGGAGGCATGCCCGGCCCTGGTCTCACGCCGTTTTGGTGAGCCAGTAAACTGACAAACACTTCCTCAGAGAGAGGTACGTCCTGGGTTCTGTCACCCTCATCTGGCCAGGCGCAGGAAAGAGACTCGTGCAACCATCCTCTGATGAATGCTGAGGAGTATTTGTCACTGTTGGGTTGAACTGGATACTCAACCCTGGTTGACCACAGAACTAAACGCCAGGGACGTGTTGACCATCACAGGCCTGAACCAACTCGTGTACAGATGCTGTTTTCACATACCCGATGTCACCTTCACGCATAGCAATTGACAGCCTCGTAACGTGTGTATTTATCCTTCAGAATTTGTACAACTACACTCTCGAGATAACATATCTTCAAAAAAAAAAAAGGTAATTTTGTAATTCTGGATTTCTCGCCGATGAATGCTTAACAAGATGTCTCTGTAAAAGTGTACTCTGTAAAATCTTTTTAGGCCTAATTTTAACCAAGTATGTTTTGTGTAAATTGGATTCTGAATGAACGGTGGAGGTAGTTTCTCAGCACTTTGAATAATCGCCCCGTGAGTTTAAAGCTGAGGCCAGAAACGCAAACTATTAGCCGGAGGTGAAATAACACTATGTACTCCTTGTCAGGTGAACGGCGTTTGGTTATCATTAAATGTTCACGCATGTCCAGCCACCTCTTTTTTTTCCCCTTTTGAGACTAAAAAGTGTTTTGTGATACACAGGAAGCCATTGGTCATTCCTCAGGAAGGAGTGGGTTCAGATATAGCAGTAATACCCCGGGCTTGCTGGACTAGAGGTGTTGCAGGTCTTGTCATAAAGAGATTTGAAGTCTTCCATTGGAAGGGAAATGGAAGCTGTTTCTAGTTTCTTTTTTCACTTGCCATTGGGCAGAAAGATCCACGAGTATAAAACCTCCGGATTGGACCTTTACCTACTGTTTGAAAACAATGACTGGGTGGAGGCATATTGTCAGTGTTGTTGTTTTCTCCATAGCTTCAGTGCTGTGGATTTACTGGACCTATAGTGTGTAAGACACCACACAGAAATGTTGAGCGAGACTGTTAAAGAAAAATTGAATGTCACATCCAATCCCGAGGTTCTATTTTCTAGGAAATTGTATCAGAGGAGTCTGGCCAGTAGCAAGAGATGGTCATTAGGAGAGGAAGTAGTGTTTTGCACCTTATTTAGTAAAGGACACTAGATAATAAAAATATAAATATAAAGCCCTAGGTAGGAAATCATTGTGAAAGGCCTTTTTCTTTTTCTTTTGGTCCATTTTATTTCCATATGCGTGCATACTCTGTAAGTTGTGCAAAATATTGTACTTGCACTAGCTTTTTTAAAAAGAAAACTAATATAAAAAAATTTGAATTGAAATTCTATTTTCTAATTGTGGTGTGTCTATTTGTAGGATACACTCACGTTGTTTCTTGGATTTTTTGGTCCCTTTCTTTGATGGTGCTTGCCGGTTTTCTAGTTAGAACTTATTTCATTATTCTGAACAACAAAACAATATTTGATTCAGGTTGTGAACAAATTTGTTTAAAAAAGAAATTGTCTGTACACCAGTACAAGTTTATTGTTGCAGTATACACGTACTAATAAAAATTATAGTGCCAATTGCAAACTGCACCCTTTTTGGAGTTTGTGATTTGTGAGAATGGGATTTCAAAAGTGTTTTTGTCAGACAGCGTGGGACATGAACATATACTCGCAAACAATTGCACACAGAGGTATTCTGCAGGCTTCTTTGACTCCAGTGCACCTAGTCAATGGAGTGTGGGTGTTGGTGGCCTTGAATATTCACTTCTGGTCCGGGCTGGATCATTCATTTGAAAAAGTGTAGATGCAAGACAATGAGATATTATCAGACACTGACTAACCCACACTTGACTGGGAGATAGTTATGACTGATACAATAAGCCAGACCGATTCAGCTCTGTCTGCTTGTCTGTCCTTGTGTTTACCATTTAGTTTCAAGCACAGTACAGTAGTCTAAAAAGAAGGTAAGTTGATTAATAAAATTCTGAATGTACACACAATTAAAAAATATGAAATGCACTATCATTGTGGATCCAGTGGGATTTGCTTGGGTTCCCAACAGAGTGCAACAGTTGAGTTCCAAGATTAAAAAAAATCCCATTCATTTTTAACAATTTATAAACCATTAAAGACAGACCTATTGTGAGCTACGAGGTCGTTAATCGATAGTATATGCATTATATTAACTTATTTTTTTAATAATTACATTCAACAGTGGAATTACCCATGATTCTCCAGAGAAATCACCAAGTCCCCAGCCACTCCCATGAAGCAATGTAAATCCGCCTTCCTATGCTCTCAAATGCGTAATGCATATTTTACAAGAAACATAGTGTTGTTTCTGTATCAACATCTTTAAATCAATAGTTTTATATTTCTGGATTGTTTTTATTTTGATTGCATTTGCAGTGCTTTATGGGATTGTAGTTCATTCCCCTCATGTTCTCAGTCTTGTACCTTTGCCTTTTATCTGATTTTCAAGGACATTTTCTTTGCTATTTTGCTAAAGTTTGTAATCTTGTGTTTGACCTTATAGCTGGTTGGTTTGGTTGATGTATTATAACTCATTAACAAAGACTTTTTAAAAATATCCTCATGTGAAAAATGAAACTTCGGGAACAGAGGCCGTTCTTTCTTTCTCGTTTCATTCAAACTCAATTGGCGCCATCTTGCTTTTCAGTTATCAATTGTAGTAAAAATTACCTGAGAGGACTTGGATATTTCTGTTACTGTAGTGTATGCTGGTTGTTTTGTATGTTTTAATGGACTGTTCTTTTCTTAGCATAATAATAGAATTACATATAGTTAGTCATTATTCCAAAATAACACATTTGATCACATAATTGACAAAAATAAAGCTTTTTAAAGCATAAAACATCCACATTTTCAGTCAGATGTTTATTCCTTAATATGTAATGTTTTACTCGGAATACATTTAACAAGGCATGCTGAAGAAATGAGGTGCAGCCGTTTTCACATTCCTATGGTCTGATATGACATCCCACCACACCCTCTGTACAATCACAAAGGAAGCAGGCCAGCAGAAATAGTTCACAACAGTACACAATGCACCACTCGCTGCTCAAATCAACGACACGCAGGGACTAGATCTTAATGTGGCAGAGAATTTTCTCTGCTGGTGTTTAAATCCTCCACTAACAGTCATTTCTTTCTCTCAAACTCTCAAACCGTCATGCTGATTGTTACACTCTAGGGAGAGAATGGATTGCATAGTTACAAAGAATGACTAAATTTGCCCCAGTATTGTCCTGTTTTCTTATTCACCCTCTGTCTCATACAGATGCAGACACATTGCATACGTTAGAGAACTTGAAATGAACAAAACTGAGCCATGCTTCAACATAATTGGTTTTCCAAGGAAATGCACTGGTGTACAGCAAGGTTCCCGAGCGAAACCGTATCCATGGGTCTGTCTGTATGAGTGTAATAGCGTTTTGAGTGAGTTACATAATGAATCAGATACTGTAGATTCGTGAATCTAAAGAGCACACAAAACTGAAACTGTTTATGAACATGTCTTTCTTTTTTCGTATGTATCGCTGGACTGCCATTTAAAGGGACAGTGCATCCAAATTCACAGGATTATTTTCAGTTCATCTATTCCTTAACTTGTGAATCTGTATTTGTGAGTTTACATGTTTTTAGCGTGCATGGCTAGTTGAACATTTGGCTAGACTGCTGTGTAACTCTGATGAAGGTCGTCCTGCGGCTCAGTTCTTTGAGTTTGGCAGCTCCTACATATGTGCAGGTGGACCGCAGGCCACCCAAGATGTCCCTGATGGTGTTTTCTACATCACCTTTGTAGGGCACCTGTACCGTCCTGCCCTCTGATGCCCTGAAATCACATAAACAGATGTACTGTACATAAGATGCTCGACAATATCAGTTATTTTTCTAGTAAATAAACCCCTAAATGAATAAATATGCCGCATGAAAACATCCTCACCTGTACTCTGTTACCCCTCCGACATACTTCTTCATGGCGGTGTCTGAACTCATCCCGTAAAACAGCTTGAACTTCTTGCCATCTTTTTCAATGATTTCACCAGCACACTGATCGTGCCCCGCTAACATTCCTCCCAGCATGACAAAATCTGCCCCAGCGCCTAATTTAACATTCATTATTAGATACAATAATGCTTTATACCTAGCTGGACAACAATATTATCTGAATTACAGTATATGAATTATAATATCTATTATTAATATCTGAATTCACCAAAAGCTTTAGCAACATCCCCAGGGCAACTGCAGCCTCCGTCCTAGAAAAAAAAAACATTTACTACAAACTCTTATAGCTATATAAAGTCATATAAAATGCAGCACAGTTTCAAAGCACTCCTATAGCTCAGTTGGTAAAGTATGGATGCAGTGTAAGTTGCTTTTGGGTTTCACATTTTTTTTAAACTTATTTAAAAAGAAAAAATAATGGGTTCAGTTATAAATAAATCTCCAGAAAGTTTCTTCAGGATTGCTACCAGAACTGACAAACTTGGGAATGACAAACAAGCTCAGGTGTCTCATTAAAGAAACACACTACTTTTTAAATAAAATAAGGAATGACATTTTTGTATGGAAAAACGTCTCGGGTTACTTATGTAACCATGGTTCCCTGAGTAGGGAACGAGACACTGCGTCCTCTAGGGGTCGCTATGGGGAACGCCTCGTCGTGACTCGTATCTGAAGCATACATTGAAAAAACACCAACTCGTTGGCCGGCGACAGCCATGACGTCACTACCGGTGCGACTACAGTATAAATCGGTGCCGGGAGCTACACATCGTTCACTTCTTCGTCTGAAGCTTGCGTCCGCAGCATGGCAAGAAACCTAGAGGACGCAGTTCGAAGTTCCCATGAAAGGGAACCCCAAAACAACTCAGTGTTAAAATACACTTCTGGTTAAATCGTTCTAAAATCAATGTTTTTTGAACAAGTTTTTGGTTAAATGGCTAAAAACAAGGTACATCAGTAAACCCCCTTGTGATTTATTTATTTTTTTAAACCTGAGAGGTGGTTGCTAACAAGTAGCTAAATGGGACTACAAAGGTTGTCTAGGACATTAAATATTATCACACAGAACATGAAAACTTAACTCGCTAGTCAGTTTTTACAGCCTTCTTGTGTTTAGAGTTGCACTCTTGCAAAATATTCTAAATCAAACTTGTTTTTTTTTATTTTTTAAAGAGTCTAAAAGAGTTGTCGGAAGCTTACTGGTGGTTAGCTTTTTACTTCTGGAGGTTTTATTTAGGCTTCAAAATTAATGAACGTTGTGTTCATGTAAGAAGCATAAACTCTTGTTGGACACAGAGCTTGTTTTCTGCAAAAATTTCAAAGCCAATGGAAATTCCTATTGGTTTTTGTCGAGGGAACCTCCAGGTTGGCCTACAAAAATACATCATCACTGCAACACTATATTCTAAAACAAAAAATGCACCAACTGGTTTGGTTAATGAAGCCTTTTAGTCTTTCTTAAGGGGCACATAAAACTGAAAAGGAAGGGAATCACTGGAATTGAATTGAGGATGCTGCCCTCTTGTGGTAACGTGCTGTCATTGGTTTGTGGGTTTCCTGTCAGTCTAAGCATTGCATTACAGCATGCTAACAATAGGCGTGTTTCCATTACAGATTTGCGCAAAACTTTGGCGATATTTTCTGAATGTCAATAAAAAAATATTGCGAAATGACGGCGTTTCCATTAACCATGTTATGAAACGTAACCTTTTGCCTCTCGCGATAAGTCATGGCAACGGATTTTGGTGGGATTTTGGCTATATTTATTCAAAGGAGGCTTATGCATGTATCTTTACAGAAGCAGCAAAGAGAGCCGCTTCAGAAACGTGCATGGCGTGGCTGGAATAAACCATAGACTGTATAAAAACATAAACACAAACATTGAGTGGTCGCAATCAGCTTCAGTGACCATATCAGAGCCACACTGCACCGCAGACGTGTGCAGTGTAAATTGTCTAAGTATTAATAGTAGAGAAAGCCCCTTATACTGGAGCGCGGCCACTTATGAAGTGTTTCTTGGAGGTTATAGTACATTGAAGAATGATCATATGACTTTTTACATAGGCCTACGCCATGTGACCTGTAAATGCGGAAAAACCGTTTCCATTGCAGTTTTGCGAATTAATCCTTTTTCGCATTGCCTGAAAAACCACCTCATGCGAGCGTAAAAACTTTTTTGCGATATATGGGCGTTTTTGCGAAATTGGCGCGTTTCCATTAAGCGTATTTTCAATTCGCAATTTCAATTTGCGCAATTTGAAGGGCAATGGAAACGCGCCTAATGATACTTACAGAGATGATGTGTCCCTTCAGTCCATGGGCCGAGTCTGCACACTCGATAACAGCGCTCAGCTGAGGATAACCCACCCCGGTCTTAATGCGTGTGGTGCACACAGAACCTGAAGATCACAGTGTTTTCAAACATCATAAACAAGCTCCAGATTTAGTAATATGTCATTTAATTTTTTTTAAACCAATTGTATTTAATGCATATGTGTGTCAGTGTAGGCAAATCTAATCTGATACCTGGCCCAATGCCCACTTTAATAATATCAGCTCCAGACAGAATGAGTTCCTCCACCATCTCCCCTGTCACCACATTTCCTGCCTAAATGACCAAGATTGTCTTATATGGCATTTGTAGGTCACACAAAATAAATATTAGGCATTTGTTACATTTTGTTTAGGCAAAAATCTCACCATGATGGTGTGCTTTGGAAACCTTTCCCGAACTCTTTTTACAAACTCCACAAAGTGTTCAGAGTAGCCATTGGCCACGTCCAGGCAGATGTACTGGATGAGAGGAATGGCCTCCAGGATGCTGCACAGTTTCTCCAGATCCGCCGCTCCACTGCCCGAGCTGGCAGCCACATGCTGAGGATGAGAGGAAAGATGCTTTAGGCTTCAGTGATTCAAATTAGCTGTCTATAAAGCTTTTGTATGATTTATATTACTCCAGTTGCATTGCATAATTTTCTGTCATTCTATTCTGATCAAAAAGGCATTTTAAATGGGAAAATCAAGTGGTGTGTTTAAATGTATGTTAATCATGGTACTCTCGATAATGGCGGAAGACTGTCCTGAAAGAGAACATGTCATATGGACTATTTTAACAATGTCCTTACTACCTTCCTGGGCCTTGAATGTGTCTGTTGCGTTGCTGTCTATGGGAGAGTCAGAAAGCTCTTGGATTTCATCAAAAATATCTTCATTTGTGTTCCTAAGAACGAATGTCTTACGGTTTTGGAACGACATGAGGGTGAGTAATTAATGACAGAATTTTCATTTTTGGGTGCACTATCCCTTTAATGTGATTGCTATGGCATTGCTAGAGTGGCTAGTTCTGTGTGGTTTATAATATGTTGTTGCTATGTGGTTTTTTGATGGACTGTACCACTTAATTAAACAGCTTTTGATTAAGAAAGGCAAGAAAGCCATTTTTGCCCATTCACCTCAAGGCACTCTGGATGACTGGCTGCAAAAGTCTTCCACTCCTCCAGGGAGTAGTGCTTCTGGATGGCTGTGAAGAGTGTGTGCTGAAAGATAGAGCAGAGAGACGTCTGAGAGGACAGCGAGTGTCTGGCACTGAGACAGACAGAAATATAAGAGCCTCTTGATCCCAGTGCATGGAAACAGGACACAGCTAATTATGTTTCAGTGAGATCTTGATAATCACAGAGATAAAACATAGTAAAACAAGACTTTCCTTGGGTTGTATTGCAAAGATACAGGTGCTGTGTTTCATCAGTTACTGTGCTCTGTTTAAAGAAGCACTCACCTTGCTGAGCACCTGTGCCATCTCAAAAGTGCCGGTGGTGTCCATGTTAGCAGCGATGATCGGGATGCCATTGTACGTCTGCTTTGAGTTCCGGAATGTGAAGGTCCTCTGCAGGTCAACCTTCAAGAACGAAACATGTGAAGGAAATTACTTTCCAAACATACAACAGTACAGAACATGTGACAGTCTGAAAAGCCTCATTTTAATGGCTAGGCTCATAATCAACCCAAACAATCCTGTGTTCCTGTCCCTGAAACCCATCCAAACTGCACTCAAATATATTACCACTAAAATTCAAATATATTTAGACCCATTAAGCTGACACATATCCACTGTAACAACTGAACGGGAGTCATTCTCCATGTCTAGCAGATGTTAAATGCAACTTTCCTAGCCAATAACATTTATTTTTATGTTTTAGCAACTGATATAACAGTATCAACCAGTATGTAGAAGAGTTTTAATTTAATGCTGTAGAAACAATTATATGCTATTATATTGTTTTGTTTTTTTCTGAATCATCCAAAAGCTTGAATAACTACAGGTTATTATTCCATGCTGTAAAAATACCTTTTTGAGTGGAAGCAAAAACATGCTTTTTTAAAATGTTTCCTTAAAGGCAAATGAGCTGCTGTTTCCCGCCCCCTTTCGAGAAGGGGTTGTGCCATAGATATCAATTCTTAAAAATCAGAATATAACAGCTTGTAAACAATGTCACGTAATGTCACATTTACTTCAGGAAAAACATATTCGGTAACCAAATACTCATCAGTCAGCTAGAAAATTTAACTCTAGAGAGGAGCATTTTGTTATATAAATGCACCATATAACATCTTTATTATACTTTTTAGTGTTCTTCAAAGTTTAATTTATGTTTGAATAAATCCATCAAGTTTTTATGACAGCCACCATTTAAATGTTCATATTTCAAAAAAGGATTGGAGTAGAAATATAATTATGTAATTGTAACTTACTTATTATAAAAAGCTTCATTGAGTGTAACTGAAGCGTTTCTATACAAATCAGTTCATTTTAACCTTCAATATAGTAATATAGTACAAACTGATTCTCATGTATTATTTTACAGGATTAGATTTTTTTCCTTGAGAAAATTTGGCATGTAGGCCTACTGTACCTACTGATATGTGGATACATATCCAAAATAATCGAATCGAATCGAATTGAAAGCTTGTGAATCAGAAACAAATCGAATCATGACATTTGTGTCAAAACCCAGCCCTGATATTTAGACGGCACGTTTGACCGCTCCAGACATGTCAGTGCGTCTTGGAATGTGTTGTCATTCACAGTAAAAATCAATGAGTTTTCCAAGATGCCACAGCATTACGCAGCATCTGGTTCTAAAATATGTTGACATTTAAATTCACGAAGAAATGGCATAAACTTTCACATGTTAGAATGTGTTCGTTTTTGATACTAATATGTATTAACTCAATATTACAGGTTTTTAAAAGTCTTTGTCTTGTTATATCATGTTAGTTCAGCAAAATCCTCTGCTGAAGTTTTGCAAATATGGATATTCATACATATATATATAACTAGTTGCAATGCATTTTGTACAGGCCTTGCAAGAAATGTTATGTGCTTAAAAAACCATGTCAGTTTAAACTAAACGTGCAGAAAGATTGCTCTTTCACGTCAACTGTCTAATAGGTCAAGGTCATGTTTATTTATATAGCACCTTAAAAGTAACAAGTGCTGACCAAGGTGCTGCACAGCCAAAACACCAGAAATATCAACCAACAAAAAGCATTAAGACATATATAAAATTCATTAAGTACTACCCTACAATACGTATTACAAACATCACCAAACAAAAGAAAACATAACAGAAACAAAACAAAAAGGTGTTTTCAAGTTAAGCAAAAGCCTGAGAAAAAAAATGAGTATAATAAAAGTATAAAGTGTATTGGTATAATAATATATTATTACTATAATAATACACACAAGGTTATGTCAAACCCCAAAGTTCACATAAACGGTTATGTCTGTAAACGTAAACAGCTGCATGTGTTTCAGTATATATTAGATCTGTGAAACGGTGTCTTCTTGGACATGGTGACTATACACACTAACAACAGAACTCAACCAGGCTGTGCCCCCTATTATTTATTTGCTTATGCCTTGGGTGGTATTTTTTTAAATTAGGAATATTGTGACGTGTGCGTTCCCGGAGGAAAACTTTAACTGATGCCTAATTAAACTAACAACTCCCTTCGGAGTGAACTTTGCAGGTCTTTTTCATGGAAAAACAGCAACATTACACCAAAAAAGCATAATAGGACCCCATATAATGTTCAGTGGATATTCTGAATAAAGTGTTTATAAGACCTAAAATTCTGATTAAAACAGGAATATTCCAGCTGTTTCATTAAAGTGGAGTACTGACTTAATCTGGTCATGCCAATAACTTTTAAAAAGTTTTGGATCAGTAACATTTATTTACTTGCCTACTTAAAGTGAATGTAATTAATATTTTTATTCAGCCAGGATATTAGATCAACAGTTATAATATTACAAAAGATGCCTGTTTCAAATAAACGCTGTTCATTTGAGCTTTCTGTTCATAAAATAATATTTAAAAAATGTATCACTGTTTTTACAAAAAATATTAAGCGGCTCAACTGTATTCAACATTAACAACAAATGGAAGACTGGAGTAATGGCTGCTGAAAATTCAGCTTCGCCATCACAAGAATAAATTACATGTTTCAAAATATATTAAAATATCTATTTTCTATTTAAAATTATAATGACATTCCACAATATTACTGTATTTCCTGATCAAATAAATGCAGCCTTGGTGCATTTATTTAAAAAACATACTAGTATATATAATGTACTGTATATGTAATCAGAATATGGCCAAATTCTGATTAATATCATCATCCACAGCTAAGACATTGTGATGGCCTTAAGTCAATTTGTGCTGAATCAAAAACTGTTGCAACCTGATATGCACAGACGCTCTCAGGTTCTCCGAATCAGTTCTCAGTCATTTCCAGTTCCAGTAACTGCTGCAGTCACATCAGTCACACTACGCTGCCCTATGAATAAACATCCTATTTTACTGCTATTGTGCTGCAGGGATTAAATTCACTGTTTTCCTATTTAAAGAGACATATTGCAGTCATAAAATGTGCATCCTCTTGCTTATTATTTGCAGGTTATACAGTAAAGAGGCCCTCAGCTGCTCTTCTATTTCAATGAGCCTGTATATGATCACAGCCACCGTTACGGCCATTATAGTGACAGCCATCATATTAGCCATCCGCAGCGAGTTCTGACCAGCACTTTACATCATCCTGCAGGGAAAATGCAGTGGAAACCTCTTCTGAATTCATCAGTAGAAACCAATAGGCAAAAATGAACAGAATATAGATGGAAAACACATGGATTTTGCTATAAGACTGGAAACTTAACCGGAAAAATACGATAATTACAGGCATACAAACCTTATCACAGTTTAGCAAAGGTGTTTATCAGCTAGATTTCTGGAAGAGGGCATTCCATATACAGATGATCATGTAAGTGTATGTATTGGTCCCATTATGAGTTGTGGGTGGGCCAAGTGTGACCAAGAGCAACGCCACAGTGGATTCTGCTTCTATTGACATGGCACGCGTCAGGCCTATTTTTAAACATGTTTTCAAAGCACAAGCTCTCAGGTTGCTTTTCCTTAGCCTGGTCAGTCGACCCTGAAAACTTGCTTCAAAACACATCAACACCAGAAAATAATGAGAAGCCAACACATACTGGCATCTGTTGATCAAGCTTGATCAGTGGTGGACAGTAATGAAGTAGTTTTACTTCGTTACTGTACTTAAGTACATTTTTCAAGTATCTGTACTTTACTGGAGTAGTTTTATTTTGAGTAACTTTTACTTTTACTTCACTACATTCCAAAGCATAAGATTGTACTTTTTACTTCACTACATTTCATACAACTTATCGTTACTCCTTATAATATATCACTTGCTCCGGGACGCAGAAGCGGTGTCTTATTCATGAAAGAACTGATTATTTTCAATGAACCCATTAAATCGGTTCGCAAATCGCACCAACGATTCATTCACGAATTGGAATGACCCGACTGCAGCTGTTCTCGAGTCGACAACTCACTGATTCAAATTAATCGTTTAGTGCTATTCATAACCATGCTGAAAATAAGTCAATAATGTTAGCTGATGCTAACTGTCTAGCTAACGAGCTTACTGGTGCTAAATTGTGGTAATTTTTTAAAAACAAATTCCAAATATTTTTATTCAACCACCTAGATAGATTACATCTGGGGGAAAGAAAGGATGTGATGTTCAGAACATGGTAACTACAGTAATTATCAAAGTGGGAAGTGATGCCCTCTGGGGGCATTTGGCCAGGGGTGTTTTTACACCACAGACAAGGTTTGAGAAGAAAACAATCATTAAGAAAATCTAATTATATTTTCCCTATTATATTCATTATTTCCTTATTGGTTATTTTGGGAAAATCCCAAGTATTTTGAGCAGTAGGATTATAAAAAAAAAATGCTAATATAAAATTAAATGATAAAAGTAGCCTATATAAAACTGCAAAATAAACATTCATCTATTGGTACTTTTTACTTAAGTACATAAAACTTTTGTACTTTCACTCGAGTAAAATTGAAAACTGAGTACTTTTACTGGAGTAATATTTTATTATACGGATCTGTACTTTTACTCAAGTACTTGATTTGTGTACTTCGTCCACCAGTGAGCTTGATAAACTGTCACTGGTTGAAGCTTAGACACAGGCCCCATAAATCCAGCTGAAAGACAGACTTCATCAAGGTCACCCTGATTTTCACATTCATTGTTTGCCACACACACACACACAGCTCTCTTGGTACTCATTTTAAGTGAATTATTCAGGTATAACAAGACAAGGCCAGTGGCAGAGTTGAAAGACAGACTTCATCAAGGTCACCCTGATTTTCACATTCATTGTTTGCCACACACACACACACACAGCTCTCTTGGTACTCATTTTAAGTGAATTATTCAGGTATAACAAGACAAGGCCAGTGGCAGAGATTTCTTTTAACACAGACAGCAAGCAAGATGTTCTTACCTCAGACCTGCTCTTCAGACTGCTCCTCTTTGGTCTGAAAAGGACATCTTTGAAGTCCAGTTTGAGGTCAGCATCCACCCGGGGCATAGTGACGGGCCTGAGAGCAGATGAGAATCTCCTGAGCCGGGCTGGTGCAGTCGCTGGTCCAGAGCTCCAGGCACCAAACCCGAACCGGCAGAAGAACAGCGTATTTATAGCGTAGAAAGGGCCGTCACTGCCCAGGCCCCCATGGCTTTATTTGGCAAGGCCTGTACACTCGCTCCTTCCCTCTCTCTCTCTACTCCCCCCTCCGTTTGCATTCAGTCTGGAGTGGCAGCAGCAGCAGTAGCAGTGATAATAGTGTTTCCTGTGTGGCTGGCTGACACATATAAACACACACACACAAGCGCAGTGACTGCAGCTCAGCACTGCAGTGTGTGCACAGAGCTCCTGCTGTCCAGCTGGGGTATTGCTCCTCTGAATCAATGAGTGCTTTCATGGGAAATGAGAGGGAGGGACATGAAGATACGGTGTCTAGTGTTGTATAATACAGAAATCATGGGTTTGAAAAAGTATAATGATTGCTGCTATAATCCACGGGACACTTAAATAAAATTATATATAATGTATTCAATGGTAAATCCCTGTGGAGATGTACAAGTACAGAAATTTACATGTGTTCATGTCAATTTCTTTACTAAGCACCATCTACAGCTTTTATTATGCACAATGAATATTGCTGACTAATGTTTTTTTTGTATTTATTTATTTATAGTATAAATATTTAATGTAATTACTCAGTGCCTATTGTTTATATTCATTAACTTGGAAGTTTAACTGGCAACCAGGTGAATTAACATTTTATTCCACTGTATATGTGCATATGGCTTACAATAATCCTAATAATAATGAATATATAAATATATATTAATGAATAATTATATATGACTAAGTTTGTGACTTATAAGTGCAATTTATATAATAAATATTATATTATAAATATAATATAAATCATTTAGGTTTGCTTTAGACAAACTTTACGTTGAAATTACACTTCCAAGGTATCAAACAAGCAATGCTTGAAATGTAATGAAAAGCCCCAAATTAACAATCTGAAACTGACATTTGCTTCTGATGTGCCACTCAGTTGGTCATTTTTATTGAGCAATTAAATTCTTTACAAAAAAATTTTTTTTATACAATTTTGTTTTTTTAAAACAAGTGCAATACAAAATTCAGGCTTGTGATCAGCGAAGGACAAAACAAATCAAGGAAACATAAATGTATAAATATATTACTATTGCGAAAATAACATTGAACTGCAAAATTTGAAATCCTGAGTATTTAATAATAAAAACATTTTTACAGAACAACATTAAAATTACAGTGATAATATATATCTGTTTTGATTTCAGTTCTCATTAAAGATTTGGGAAGATGCATTTACTGTTTTGCAGTATTTACTGAAAAAAAATGATTCAGTGCATCAGAGTATGTATAATTAAATAAAAGACTTTGAGATTTGATAAATCACACCAACTGGCGAGTAACATTGTTTCATATACTCACCATTGCCAATTTTTACTCTCATTTGGCGCTAGACTGAGATGCTAAGGGCTTTCCACACACAACTGATAGGTTGGGAGTAATCCATGCATACAGATGCATGAATGCATTTAAAAACATAGCATTTCAGTTTGTTTAGTAACTGTTTCACGAGTGCGCCTGCCCATTCGGTCCTGCTAGATAATGGTAAACAAACTTGGCTTGTTGTACTTGAGGGAGGCTCAAACTCAGAGTAAAAACCCCCCTCTATGGATGTACGCAGTGGAGGAGGAAAAGAATAGAGAAAGAAAAGAAATGGAGGAGGAGAAGGGGAGGCGGAGGGATGCCAGAAGTATTGTCGCTTGGACGGAGCAGTGACTGCTGCTTATTCACGCTCGCAGCAATGATTGACAGGACTGAAAGATTAGGCTCCTCCCGACCCTATGTTTGGAACTTTATTTAAGGCCATTCAAATGTGTCAATTTTCAAGTAGGAAAATATGGGGGGGGGAGGAATCACATCCCTGAGAATCTCATTAAAATCTACAAAATGGTTTTAAAAGCTTTAGGCCACCTCATCCAGCTTGAGGGTCCAAGCGTCAGCAGGTGTGAAAGGCAGATCAGGCAGCAGAACAATCAGACCTGTTGTCTGCAGAGGAGCCCATTTTAGAGGCTCAGGGTTCCCCAGCAAGGTCACCTGAACAGAGATGAAACAGATATTTCATTGATATCTTACCAAAAAAAATAACTTTTTTTTTTCTCTTCTAAATAATGATGAATTGAAATATTTACCACTGTGTTGTAGGAGGTTTTAGGCGTTAAAAGTTTAAAGGAGTTCTGCATGGGATTGGAGGTGAAGATCGCATACACAGTGCTGCTTTTTGACGTATACCTGGAATTGAAGGAAAATTTAAAACACAAATTAATGAGGCGTTCACAGCTATAATATATACACAACATGCTAATTAGAACTAAACTAAGATTGCAGAAACAAACTGATCAGAAACAAGCAAAACTAGCTCACAAGAAATCAGACTCGACAGATCCAAGATATATATAAATCATTAATGACAATCAAATGATCACATGAACATGTCACAATTTCAGGGTAAAACTGTGTTTACTCTAGATTAAGTGAGAATATGTACCCAGAAGTCTTAGCAGAGTTTTTGAAAGGCCCGTACAGTGAATGGGCTCTTACAATTGGTCTTAAAGTCGTTATATTAAGCAGCGACTCATGAATCCTCAACTATAATTTTCTCACATGGCTCCTGTTATACTCATCATGGTCTCTAGGTGACACTTTTTCACTGTAACCACAACAGGATTTTCTGAAAATTTTTCAAAGGAACTGTAAGGCACTGACAGATAAGAGGAAGTTTAAAAACATCAACACACCAGACAGGAACTGTAGCATTCTCAGCCTGAACTCTCCAAGGCTTAGTTGCATAGATGGCTTCACCATTGACCTTCAGCCAGGCTCCAATCCCTCTGAGACGTTCCTCAAAGAGAGGTGCAATCATGCCGTCTGATGTTGGCCCCACATTTAACAAGTAATTCCCTCCTAATGCCACGACGTAAACCATGTCCTGTGGTCACAATATATGACAGTCATTAGGCACCATATGAACTTGCATAAGCGTTTGTGTCCATGTTTCATTCATTCATATATATATATATATACACACAGTGGGTACGGAAAGTATTCAGACCCCCTTAAAATTTACAATACAAGATCTTTGGTCTATTAGCAACACATCTCACCTTTATAATGGATGGTAGATCCATCAGTTCGCTTAGCTTCATGTTTCGGCGATAGCCCCATGATATTGTGTCCACTGACTGACATTTCTCCCACTTGTGATTGGGCAGTTCTCCAGGAGTGAACTTGTCAGCACAGTTGTAATAACCTCCATGTTTACAGTAACAGCCCAACCCCCATCTGTCATTGGTCACCACCACATCCTGTAAAGAGTGAAATAATGTAGGCATTATTATCCGAATTACAATTTGAGAGACAGTTTTAAAATAAGAACAACATTATGTGATGATCTCACTTTGACTGGACTGTCGTTGTAGAGCCAGGCTAGGAATCCTGTAGAGTTCCAATAAGTGTCAGGTGCTTCCCAGTCCCCATCTGACCAAATCAAGTCCGGCTTGTACCTGAATCATCAAAAACATCACCAGTTAACTTCCATAAATGTCACACCATATATGTAAAGGTTGATCTTTGCACAGACAAGTCAGGCTTATATCATAAATGCTCTTCGTTCTCCACCCCTGTATAATCACATGACTGATGCAAATTTACCTGTTGACCAGATCGTAGAGCTCTGGCATGGCTTTTTTTTCAACAAACTCCTGGGTCTTGAAACCAGACTGCTTGTCACTCAGGTAGATGGGATTGAACCATTCATACAGTGAGTGGTAGAGTCCATAATGTAGTGATCTAATATAAGAAATGCAACATTTTTATAAAAAAATTCAGGGGAAAAAAAAATGTATGCAAAGCCTTACTGAGATATCCACCTTACTGAGATGTAAGAGCAGGCATGGTCTTTTTTTATTTGAATGTGCAGGACTTTCTGTGCTTCCACTTATTTTAGCTGTACAAAAACTGTTCACTGCTTGATGTTGCAAATTGGTCTTTTTTGTTAGATTATTTAATTTTATTAATGGAATCCAAATTTGCACAAACAGTTTTTTACTGCACTCTGTTATTCTAGTTATTTACCTAAAGACTGCAACAAAAAACCTCTTTAAAGACAAACCTACTGTGAGCGATGATGTTGTTGGTATATTCTTTTGTTAAGGCCATCAGCCCACATAATGTCAACTTATTTTTTTAAATAATAATGTTAAACAGCAGAATTATCTTTACATATTACATTAGATGAAACACACACACACACGCGTGTGTTTGTGCAATAAATGTAGAAATATATCAGTATTACACCTGCAATGCTTTTATTAGTAAGTTCAAGGAAGGGTTTTCTCGGTTATGCTGTTTCTGTAAACAAGAGTCAGAAACAATTTTATTCTTATTTTTCAGGTATATTCAAGTTCTGTTAACCATTTTGAGCTCCGTCACAAAAATTATACAAATACCTGGTTATATGGTTATAAATGCGCTCTATTTGAAAAAAATATCATATTCATAAAGTAAAATAATGTCAGTTTTACTAAATATTAGATTGTTTTCCACAGATTTTTTTTTTATGATGAATTGAATAGCTTTATTGAATAAGCTAACTGATGTTATACAGGTGCATCTCAGTAAATTAGAATGTCGTGGAAAAGTTCATTTATTTCAGTAATTCAACTCAAATTGTGAAACTCGTGTATTAAATAAATTCAATGCACACAGACTGAAGTAGTTTAATTACATGATTGATTTTTGTTGTTGTTGTTGTAAGATGTAGGAGGTAGCCTTATGCATATAGTATTGTGTATGTTGTCAATTTTACCCGATGGAAAAAAAAGGAAGTAGCTCATTTCCGGTTGAAAAGATAATGTAGCCTTCGTAATCGTTACAATTAGCATCAGGTTGCACAAGCACGATACCTCTTTCTTATCGCAGCACCCAAATCTCCAACCAGATCCCTGTGAGGTCCATTATCAACAGAATTCCAATTCCAAGAGGTCGGGGACCCCCAGTTTGTGAACCCCTCGTGGTGTTTGGATGTGAGGACCACATATCTGCGCAGAATGACAAGCATAAATAAGAAGAACTTAGGAAGCATCTCTGCAACCCCATGTTACGTACATACTTTGCTCCTGAAGCTTCGAAGATAT